GGGGACAGCCAGAGCTGGGTCCCACGCTGGCCCAGGGGACCCCTGAGCCACCCAGCACGCTGGCCACCCAGCCTCTGTCTGGCCATACCACCAAGTGCGAGGCTGACTCCAGCGTCCCCCCCCCCCGGTCTCCCCTCTCCAGGCCCCAGAGGACCCTGTCATTCCTGGCAGCTGGGGTACCCGTATCGGGGCCAGGGGCTCCTGGCCCTCCGAGGCTGTCCCTGGCCTGCAGAGCCCCCCAGGTGCTGAGGTCTGACCACAGCTCCTGCTGCCACCTCTGTCTTTAAGGGACAGGGGCCCTTCTAACCCTGTGCCCACCACCTGGCCCCATTACCTGTCCCAGCATGCCCATGGACAGACCCCCACCTGCTGTGACCTTGCCTGTCTGGGGCCACACAGGCACAGAAGAGAGTCACAGCTCTTTACTGATCACAGTGTGGATATTAAAATAGAAACCACCTTCACACACTCTGTCTGGGCCTCCTTCCCTTGCTGCTTCCTCCGTGGAAATGTCCCCAGATGGGACATAGAGGGCAGTGTCCTCAGCCTCCTCTTGTAGACTGGGACCTCCTGGGGGGGGCCGAAGTCTGGGGAGAGAGTGGGGGGCTTTCCATGGAGGGGACAGAGCAAGGAGGGGTACAGAGGCAGGTGTGCATGGTCTTGGAGCTGGTCAGGCCTGTTTCTGCATGTGGGGGGTGGGGGGGGGCCCTAGGAAAGCCTCCAGCCCCCGCGTCTGGCAAGGCAGTCCTAATATCTGATTCATGTGGGAGGCTGCTCCCCCTGTGGTGAAACAGTGCCCCCCACATTCTGTGGCCTGGGGCTGCTCGCCTAGCATGGCCTCTGCTGGGCCCCTGCCAGGCCCTGCAGCCACGATAGGCATCGGGTGGCCTTCACAGCTCACTGCCTACCTCCTAGCACCACCAGACTTGGCTTTCCCACAGTGGGGGGCTGGAAGGGGAGGCGGGGGACAGGTAGGGAGGGGTGCCTGGGGGACTGTCGGACCCAGCTAACAGCTTCTCTCCCCGGGAGCTGGCCACACCTCCATGCCCACCCAGGAATGGCCCTAGGGAGTGCGGTTCCTGCCTGCGCCTGGCTCCTTGAGCTGGGTTGACCAGGCTGGGCCAGTCGGATCAGGACCCGCGGCTGCCCCATTAACTCTGCCGAGCAGCAGATAGCATCACTAACCTGCCCTCTGCAGTGTCCAGAAATGGGCTGCGGGTGGCCAGGTAGGGAGTGGGTCACAGACATGGGCTGACCCCCAACCTTCCAGGGGTTTCCTGTATGGGCTTATGGGGGCTGTGGGCTGAGTCAGGAGGTGTCTGGAGAATCCCCAGGTCCTGAGTCTGAGGGAGACACCCCTTGCCCTCCCGTTAACACTCCCATGTGCCTATGCACCCCAGTTTCTAATCACTGGACAGACAGAAGCCTGTCCCTGCTGAGAGGGGAGGGCATGATCCCTGCTTCATAGGTGCAGAAACAGGACCAGAGAGACAGGACTCAATCTGCCTAGTCTGTGGGAGGCAGGACGGACCCCCTAGAGGTCTCCCACCCTGGACTCTGGTAGGTGATCCAGCTAGCAGGTCAGGGGCACAGCTCCTTCCCTGAGGTCTTGACCTTGTGGTCCTGCTGGAGGGTGGTGGGAGTGCTGTCTCCTGAGTACCAAGCCCTTGATTCACATTCAGCAGGTTGTGGAGGCACTGGGCCCCCTGTGGAGAGGGGCTGGGTGGACCAGGATTACATCTAGCTATTCAGGGGCAGAGTGAAGAATGTTCCAGAGGCCAGTGCAAAGGCTCTGAGGCAGGAATGCAGCAACACTGGAGAGCACCTGGGAGGTTTAGCAGCTGAGTGACAGGATTCCTTAGAGCTTCTTTGGGCTGAGGCTCTAAGGTAGCCATGGCTAGAGCTCCGCCTGCCCCTCCCACCCCCGCAGGCCGAGGTGGCTCCTCCCACTCCCTTGAGCTGTGGTTTCCAACAACAGAGGCTAATGCCCAGCAGGGACCAGGGAGACTGGCTCCAGGTAGGAGACCCCTCCCCACAGCCTCTTTCAGTGGGAGTGGGCAGAGAGGCCTAGGAAAGGGCCCCTGCTTTACCCTTCAGGGCTTGGAAGTCTCCAAGGGCTATCTGGGGCAATGGGGGAGGGCTTGGGCTGCCCCCAAGGAGGGTCACTTTCCCTGCTTGAAGGAGTGGTTCCGTAGGCAGATGAGTCTGAGAAGTACCGCTCATCTGTCACCCCAACCCCCACCTCAGACATCTAGGTGCCCCTGAGATCATTTGGGCCTCAGAGTAAAACCCACAGTATCCTTCCTGGGGTGTGTCTCCCAGATTTGTGTTCAGGGACCACATCTGGGAAAATGGGGTCCCAAGCCATGGCTGGTACTTGGGACCTGGTGGAACTGAGTTGAATCCGTCTCATGCCCCAAGCCTCCATCTCCTCATCTGTGAAACGAGGTCACCTGCCTGCCAAGAAGTGTGCAGGGGAACCAATGTAGCGCTGCATGGCATGGGGTGGGGTGTTATTTCTCTTGTAGCCTCAAACTTGGCCCAGCTGTAGGACTGGCTTGGAGAGGCTGAGGCTGTGTCATCTGTCCATCCACCTACTTCGACCTCCTGGACCTCCCCTACCAGTTCATCAGCCACTCCCCAAGGACTGCACCTCACACTGGATTTGCCTGGAGACCCTGTTCACTCCTGGCAGTCCCAGCTGCTGGGGCGGATCTCGGTGCCTGAAGGGGCTGCAGGGGGGCCCCGGGGCCTGCACTGCTCCCCAGATGGCCTGCTCTTCCTGACAGCGGGGACTGCACCCTGCATCCACGTGCTGGACCTTGAGGGACGCTCTGTCTGCCACCTGCCCTGCCACATTCCAGGGGCTGGGGACTTCGTGCCAGAGGATGTGGCTGTGACAGCTGCTGGCCTCGTGGTAGTCAGTGACCTCGTCCACGGGACTGTCCGTGCACTCCAGCACACTGCCCGAGCCCCTCAGGGCCGCTGGGTGACAGTGGGCAACTTCTTGGCCCCCCAGGGGCTGGCTGTGGATGCCTTTGGCCGAGTCTTGGTGACAGATTATGTGCCCGGGGCTGTGCACAGCTTCACACTGGGCCCTGCCTTAGAGCCACTGGCCCCTGCCTCCATACTGGGCCTGGAGGGCCCCTGCTGGGTGGGCCCAGGGCCTGATGGGGGCCTGGCTGTGAGTGAAGAGTTTGGGGATGTGCGGCTGTTTGGCAGTGCCTGCCAGCCCCTGGGCTCCCTGAGAGGACTGACTGGGCACAGCTTTGGCAGCCCAGCAGGTGTGTGCACTGATGCAGCGGGCAGTGTCATTGTGGTGGACGAGCAGCAGTGCCAGGTGACCCTGTTCCCCCGGGACAGGGCACCCATCTGCCTGGTGTCTGAGGGGCTAGGGCAGCCCCTGGGTGTGGCCTGTACACCCCAGGGCCAGCTCATGGTGGCGGATGCAGGGGATGGCTACATCAAAGTGTACCAGTACCTTTTGGATCTGGCCTGATCTGGTGGGCTTGCAGGGGAGACCAGCTGTGCATGGTCCCAGCCTCCAGGGCCCGGACAATGATGGGAGGAATGTTCAGGGTTGGTGGGGTCCTGGAGGGCTGCTGGCCATGCCTTCCTGACCCTGCATGTTTGTGACACTTCTGAGCCAGGCCTTGGACTGTCCTCCTGTCTCTCTCACAGAGGATTCAGACTTCCTTGACAGTCCTAGCTCCTAATCAGACAGAGGCAGGCAGGGAGGGTATGGCTGGGCTGAGCTGGGCCGGGCAGTGTAGTTTGGGTAGGGGTGTGGCCCCTCACTGTCCCCCGATCCTCAGAGGCCCCAGGTGCCGAGTCTCCTGCAGCTTCTCTGGGCCCAGCTGAGGTAAGGGGGGAGCAGAGGAGGGGCCACCCTGGAGGAGCCCTGTGGTGACACATGGCTGGGTTGGAAGCCTCCATGCCGGCTCTTTCTCCCATGTGAAACTGAGCCTTCATTTTCTCCTCTGCAGATGGGATCAAAGAGCTGCAAGCTCATGTGGGGGTGGTGGGAGAGTTATGGGCAGTGGTCAAGTGTAAGAGAGCCCTCCTGTGAGGACAGACTCCTGCTGCTTAAAAGCAGCACGAAAATGAAGCTGAAAAGGGTGGGGAGGTTTGGGGTTACACTGAGTCTGGGGCCCAGCCAGGCTTCTAGTTCTAGTGAGGGGTCTTCAGAGGGAGGAGACAGTGCCTAGTCCTGTCCCTGGGAGCTGGTGAGGGGATGCACCAATCACAAGGACCTGTGGAGAAGAGGGTGGATTAAGTGGGTCGGTGTAAGGAGATGTGTAGCAGGTACTCAATAAACATGAGTTAGTTGTTGCTGCTGGTATTAGGGATACCGTTCCCTGGAGCAGGAGGGTCAGGGATGCCTCCTGATTATCAGATCAGATGGCTTCAGCCTCCAGGCTGGCCCTCCAAACTTCCTAGCTCTTTTGGCCCTCGAGGGACCTGGGTGGGGGGCCCTATGTAGGGACCAGGGTACAAGGGGGTCAGCCTGGGACTCTACCCAGGGCCTAGAGGCCCTATCATCTGGTAGGGTGGGTGTAAGATAAGGTCTGGGATCCTCAAATGTCGAGTCCACTAAGTCACTTACATGAGGAAAGCAGGGATGGGGGAGGTTTGGTGGCTGTGGGAAGGTGGGGAACTGGAAGGCAGAGGTATTGGGGGCACTAGGTAGACTGGAGTGGGGACAAAGATTCTGAGCGGGGACAAGGGCGCCGCACGCAGGCCTCTAGCTCCGGGGGCCGGAACGTTGCGTACACGGAACGCACGGGCCAGGGGCTGGCGAGCAGCCCGGGCGCCTTTCGAGGAGGACCGTCACGCGGCAACGCCTGGAGCCGGCGGAAATGGGGTTAGTGTCCCGCGGCACAGCCGCGGCT